AACACTTATATTTTCATTTTGAAGGGATGACAGTCCATTGAAATCAAGTTTTCTGCAAAATATGATTGAAGACAGAACAGAATCAGCCTTATCATACTATGAATTCCTCCTTCATATACAGCAGCAAGTGAATAAATGAAACGCTAGCCTTTGGCTCACTTCTTTAAGGAAAGATTTTGCAGTAAAGAACGATTGTGCTTGTAATATCTTCATAAAATCTGTGGCCTGAGGCAGTTGATGAGAAGTTCTCACTGTGATTTCAACGAACTAAAGCAAATAAAGGACCACATCTGAGAATCAAATGTGCTACTACATAATATTGTACCTTAAAAAAAAAGAAAATCAAACTGTTGGAACTGGTTGAGCACCTTTAATTTGCTGCAAATCATGTTTTTACTGTAAGTAGTTGCAGCATGAAGTATATTTACAAAGGCAATACTGAAAAGGTGAAATACATTTTGTAAAATAAAGAGTTCTTTGTTGTTCAAAATGTATATTTCTGTAACTCTTTGCCTTTTTCTTGTTCTTTTTTTTTTTGCTGCTAGATACAAAACCTCACAATACTGATCATGATTTGCAGGGAAATTGTTTTAAGTGCATCCAGTGATTACAGGCAGAGCATCTCAGTGTTCAAACTTTAAGCTTAAAGTAGCAATGAACAACTGTTCATTGTGAAACGAACAAATACTTGTGAAGTGTAGAATCCAGGGATTGTGGCTAACAGGACTAAAGGTGAGCTTAACCTGGACATGATGGCTGAGTTTGATAAAGCTTTTAATAAGTCAGTATTCAAACTAAAAAAGAGTGGAGAGGAGTGAGTTCTGTATGAGAACATCTTAATGTCAGTGGCTGAGACAGCAGCAAAAGTAGACTTAGATGGCAAATGTTTTTCTTCAGTGAAAGGAATAGTTGTCATTTCAGTTTGAATGGGTGGGAGGGGAAGGGCAAGGAGGGTTCTCTCAGAGTTTTTGGTTTGTTTAGTAGACTTTTGGCTCTTGTTTACACTAACTGAATGTTTAGCCCCTAAAATCTAGTGTGTTTCTGAAGCGAGTTTGTGTGGCAGCACTTCAAACCTTGTGTTTTGGGACAGCATTGAGTATCCTGAGGTTAACATTCAAAAAGACATTCTTTTTCCAAAGACAAACGTATTTTACATTGCAGATGTGTTGGTGGTTTGAGACACACTTGAAGTTTTCCGTTCATTTTTGTTTGTAATGAGCCCAGGTCCAAAGCCAGGGTGCACCAAATAAGAGCTTTAAATATACTCTCAGATCCCTGCCAGAGCTTCAGAGAGAAGGTGACATTGGCCTTGAAGTGAAAGTTTATATAGGGAAATACTTAGATCATTTTAAGAGTGCATTGATCATTGTCCTGTGGTGGAGATTAAGCTATCACTGATAGCTACCAACATAAAGAGTATTGCAGTTACTGTATCCCAATGCCTGTGGAAGTGTTTCATATGGACAAATCTTGGTTTGCTTTTTTGTTTGTGATAAAGGACTTGCAAAACCTACTTCCTAGGGCAGGTAACTTGCACAGGTAAACTGCTTCTAAGTGGTCGGACATGCACTGTGATGAGCTTAGTTAACTTACATTTGTGATACAGATGTCCAAGGGCATCATAGGTAATCATTTGCTGCCATTTCAGGCTGTAGCTGCACGTGGTTGTCAGGAGTTGCCTTAGTTCAGGGGAGTTCCTTGAGGGAAGATGTTCTTGTCGCTTGAGCACAGGAAGCTGAATTTCAGAACAATGTCTAAAATGGCATGAAAAGACTATCAGAGAATCAATTGAAGCTTCCCTATCTGCTCTCCCCCTTCAAATAGGAGTATATTTACTTGAACAGCTTGCCAGAGAATTGCACAGTTTCGAAGTCACAGTGAAGAGGTTTTTAAGTTTTCACAGCCTGATTTAACTTTTGTCCTGGGGGAAAGGGATCTCTTCATTTAAATCATAAATGGAAGCTATGCACTTCCATAGGTTATGGCTTAAATTTGTGGTTTTGGGTATACTATCACTCAGATGTTGAAAATCATCCTTGTACCTTAACAGTCGTCCCCCCCCAAAGTGTCTCTTACTATGGCTGTGTTTTGTTACTATATCCCTTACTCTTTTTTTAAGACATAAATGTTGGGAGATGGCTTCATTGCTTTATGTACACCAGACTAATGGCTAAAGATGGCAATCTTTGTGGCAATTAACAGCTTTGAATTAAAGCCCCTAAGTTTTATAGAGCAAAACATGATAAGAATCAAATCTTGGAGTCTTCTTTGCTTTGGAAGGAATTCAGTGTTGAGCTTTGTTACTATATTCCCTGTCAGTGGGAAAGCCTGCTGGGTCACCCTCTCTTGCTGTAGGGGCAGTACAGGACAGAGGAACGCAGAGACTACTTATGATTTGTCACTTTTACCTACAACTGAAAAATAAGGACACTGAAGTTGAACTGCCAGAACGGGCAGGAGTGGCTCTGGTACTGAGATCTCAGCACCACAACTCCACCACTGCAAATGGTCTCTATTTTTCTAGTTGAAGACTCTTTTTTGTTGAACTTTATCTGTATTTGACACGTTAGTGTTCAGCCAACATTGTTACCATCCATTTTACTTTGCTTTCATTCTCGTTTTTAATTTAATCTCTTTGAGTCTGACTCCCCATAGACTGCGTTGCAATAACTAGAATGATTCACTTTTATTTAGCATTATCTTCTTAACAGAATTTAATCAAAGATACAGAGTGGCTGTTAAGTAAGGGACCATTAAATGTGATTTTAAGGTTCTGTTTACTATTATGGATGTAATCCTTCTAGTAAATTTAATTTTGTAAAGTAGTGTATAATATTGTAATATTAAATCTTTGTTTTCTGAACTCCAACGTATGATCTTCAGTATGAAGTGATAAATCTTCCCCCCTTCTGAATCTGAGACAGGATTTACTTGTCCGCCTTTTTACAGTTTGTAATTTTCACTGTTTTATTCCTGTAAAAAGTCATTTGTAACACATGCAAATGCTTATTTTATCTGTGCTAATTTATCAGATTTGGCTACTCAATAAAATTAATTGAAAGAACTCATGCCAGTCCATCAGTGCTTTCTTAGAGATAACGTATTCGATCGACTGAGTGAAATGCCATGTACCAACAAGTGACAAATTCTATTTTTAGATAAAACATACACCATTCAGGTGATTAACTGGTGAAAATCTGTCCCTGCAGAACACCTCTGTCAGTCAGTGTTGGTACCCAGTCCTGCCTTGGGATGCGTTCTTCCAGCAAGGTGAGTGGGGCTGTACCCCACCATGTGGTACCCTACCAGGTGGCTGGCAGTTGGTTTTAAGAGCCGGTTGCTATTAATGATTGGAATTTAGCCTTCAGCAGTGATCCCAAGTGATCAATTTTATCGTAGGTAATCCTGTATCTTCATTTAACATCCTATCTTTTCAACACCTTTTTGTAAAAGTCATTCCATCTTACGTTTGCCCATTTTTTCATGAGCTGTCATCACTGGTGCTTCTGGTTCACCGTATGTAAGTTAATGCATGAGCTTGGTCCTTCGACCTCTGTATTGAGCAGGTTTTGAATATAGAATCCTCTCATATTTCATCACTTTGTATTGTAGAACTATTAACTGCACTTGTCAGCACAGAGCTTTTCCCCCAGTGTAATGATTTGCCCTGTTGCTGCTGAATTCACCACTCAGCAATGAACTAGCAGCCGTTCCAGCACTGGTCTGTGGAACTCCAAACAGGATCTTGAAGCTGAGTTCTGCTTCTGCACTTCTGAGTGCATGTGGCGCAGTCTGAGTTAATGAGTGCAAGTCATTCAGTGTCAAGGATGTTGAAGGTAATTAGTTTGACGTATTGATGGGAAGCATTCATGTCACTGTCTTCAGCTGGTCTGGCTTTCGGGTACTTCTCATCAGAGTGCAGTAAAGGGGAGAATCCTCTCCCTTGTCTTGCTCACGCTGTGGGGATGCAGCCCAGGAACCAAAGATGCTCCCTGTTGTATGATGTTACGGTAAATCGGGAATCCTTGAGAGCTCCTTGTTCTCAGTGTGTATGTTCAATCCCTCCAGCTGTTTATTAACAGCGGTGCAGTGACACCACACTGGGAATATGATTTGGGAAGCTGACCCTTGGGAAGTGCATTTCCCTACACTGTACTGCTTTCATGTACACATAAAAACATCTGTTTGGGACTCCAGTAAACAGCAGACTCTCTCCCCTCCTTTGGAATGTGCCCAGAGATGATAAATAACTCCCTAGCTCCATCTGCACAGCACACCCAATGGTTTTCCAGCAGAAAACCTCCACCAGGCTGAGGAGCAGCACGGCAGGGAGCTTCTGCTTGTGGTTTAAATATTGTGTGCTTGAAATTGAATGGGTTGTCCAGGGAGGTTGTGAATGCTCCATCCCTGGCAGTGTTCAAGGCCAGGCTGGACGAAGCCTTGGGTGCCACGTGTTTAGTGTGAGGTGTCCCTGCCCATGGCAGTGTGGTTGTAACTGTATGATCTTAAGGTCCTTTCCAACCCAAACTGTTCGATGATTCTATGGTTCTATGATGCTGTACTGGTTTTACATCGCGTTGTTAAGCACATTTTCCTCACCGAACGCAAGGTGGAGGTACCTGGTTTACTGACACCACAGTTTTAAGCACACCGCGGAAGGAGCGGGCCACCGGTAGCTCCCGACCGTGGCTCCCGGCCTCTGCCGCTGTTTCCCCGCAGCACGCCGGAGCCCTTACCCGGCTGCCGCCGTTACTCAAGCTCCCCTCAGCGCGGCCATGACCCCGCTCTGCCTTCCCGCCTCCTCACTGAGCTGATTCACCGCCTCGTCGTGCCGGGTACCGCTTCCGACGACGCGGCGGCCATCTTTAGTGCGGGCACTGCATGGGCAGAGAGCGTGGCCCGCCACAGGCCATCCCCGCACACTCTTCCGTGCCGTTGCCCTCACGCAACATGGCGGCGCTTGCTTCAGCGGTCCTGGCGCATGCGCGCTGATCCGAGGCAGCCTCATTGTGCGGTGCTGAGGTAACGCCGCGGCCTTGTTCTACCGGGGATGGAGGAGGACGGCGGGGCGGGAGCGGCCCCCGCGGCCCCCGCCGGCCTCTCGGCCTCCCAGCGCCGAGCCGAGCTGCGGCGGAAGAAGCTGCTGATGAACTCCGAGGAACGGATCAACCGCATCATGGGCTTCCACCGGCCCGCCGCGGGCAAGGGTGAGCCGCGGGGCGGCGGTGCTGTGAGGGCTCCCGGGGCTGCGGCCGCCTCCTGCCGTTACCGCTGCCGCATCTCCTCAGGGCCGCAGCTCCAGCGGCTGCTGCTCGAGCCCTCAGCGCGATCATTCGGTTTAGTGGTGCTTTAAGCAGAGCAAAACGGATGGCGGTCCTCAAGAGACCCGCTATAGAAACGGTCTCGGGCCTGTGGCTGCTCTGCCATAGCGAGCACACAAGCTGTCAAGCAGGTTGTCTCAGGTGAAACGAGGAGTTTCTCCCGTGTTTTCATCGGTTACTGCTTGCTTTCATAGTTGTGTTTTTATAGCAGAGTTTTCTCTGATTTGGGCAATAAACAGTCATTGGATGCTTGTGTTTGGCATGCAGGATTTCCTTGCAGCTTCCTAGGAGGTCATTTCATTTCTGTACATCGAGGAGGCCAACTGTCTCGTCAGGAAAGGGTTCCCACATTTCAGTTCACAAAGATGCCCACAAGCCATGAGTCAGTCTGCTTTAATACTGAGTAATTCTCTTTCAGTGTTCCTGTCCGGTAGGACCAGCCCTGTTCTGCACGCCTCCTGGTTTGGTTTTGTTCTCTGGCATCACCTTTTGCTGTAAGATGGGGTCTTCAGGTTGGATACAGAGCAGGTTAACACAGCTTTGCCTCTGATAATAGAGAAGAGCAAGCCAAAGTATGCTGCTTCTACCACCTGCTTATTTGCCAGTCTTTACTGCGGCTTCTGTGTGGTTCACTTTCCGTAAATCTCTGTCCTTTTTAATGTTGCTCCATGTATTTGAAACATCTTTCCTCTTGTCCATGCAGTGTTGTTGCTTAAGGAAGTCCAACATCTGCTGACTGACAGCATCAACTTCCGACCTCATTGCACAGCTTCTGTCCTGTGCCTGCCCCACTTCAGAAGAGTGCCCTGCCATTCGAAGCCTGTGCTACACAAGGGTTCTTTGTAGGCTGGTGGAGAGGGTGTAGCCAGGGCTATGCTGAGGGCAGTTTCAGTCTGGTCCATGCTGTGTTCTTCCATTTTCATCACCATCTGTGTGTAACTTGACTGTAAACCTTTCCTTTGATGCACAAGGAGGCTGTGTGTCAGCTGAGCCCATTACTTTTAAAATGTATTCATCAAATAGCTTTATGATGAATAATTAGCACATTTATTAATCATAAATCTATCTTTTCACTTTGGAAGCAGCGACCCCGGTCCAGAATGGCTGAAGTGTTGTTCCACATACCTGGTGTGCATAACTCTTGTGGTTTTTGTTTCTTTTCTCTAGATGACGAAAGTCACACAGAATCAAAGCTCCAGCGTGAGCAAGATAAACCCATTCCTTCCGTTTCTAAGCGAATTGTGCTTGGTGATGCTGTCTGTAGCATGGCAGGCACAGCTGACCATGCAGCCGGCATGACTGACCTCAGAGGGGAGAAGGACTTGTTCACTAAAACACCAGACCTCGTCAATGAGGGCACAAGCGAGCTCCGTCACCGTGGCAGAGGGGAACTGCCACCTGAAGCTGCGGCACGGCCACCTCGACACGGATTAGACCAGTACCTATCCAGATTTGAAGAAGCTCTGAAGCTGAGGAACCAGCTGATGAATGAGAAGCCAAGCCAAGAGAATGGGAATGCAGCGGAGGAGTTTGACTCTTTCCGCATTTTTAGATTGGTGGGGTGTACTGTGCTTGCCATCACAGTCAGGGCGTTTGTGTGCAAGCACTTGGTGAGTGCAGGGAAGCAAACAATCCTTTTCTGCTTTGCTAGTTGACTGCTAAGATACTATGAAATACCCTTTATCTAGGGCTGAAGTTTATCAGTTGTGACTGAGTGGCAACTTCAGGCACTCTTTGTGTTTCTGACAACTGTATAGAACCTAAAATGATCTCTAAATTCCTTGAGATGAATCTGTGTTACCTTACACAGCCTCTGTGTAACACACCTTTGGTCAGTAGTGTTCAAGGAACACAACCACTGCAGTAGTTATCGCAGCTTATGTCCCATCTCTGTGAGCATGAATCAACTGCTCTTCTAGTTTGGAGTCTAGAAAAGAATAACAGAGTAAGAACAGCAGTAATTGTCCCATGATAAGCAGATCCTACTCATGTATCAGTCTCCTGAGCAAGGAATTCCTCAGTGCTGCAGGTGCTGCTGGTACATCACAGCTGTGTGTGCCTGGTCCAGGCTGCCACCTCCTGGCTCGCTGGGCTCGTGTTTACACACCGCTCTATGCTTCTGTGATCTCAGGGGTTTAGGCTTGAAGAAACCTTATTTTTGACACGTAAATTGTCTGCTTAGCCTTGTAGTATTGAAAAATATTGCTGCTATTGTCCACAAATTATATTTCTACCTAATTTATGACTTAAGAAGCTTTAAATTTTTGTGTTTTCTTAGCTATTACTTCTGACCATGTTAATTTTTCTATGTTCTTTTCTTTCAGTCAATATTTGCACCATTTCTTACTCTACAACTTGCTTATATGGGCCTGGCCAAGTACTTTCCAAAGGTAATTTTGTATTAATATTACTATTTCAGAATTACTTTGAAATGTTTAAAATTTAATCTTGTGCTTAGAATGTATTAAGACCAATGCATGTGAGATTTTCTTCCCCTTGTTTTAAAATGTACGATTGAGAGTTACTGAATTCTGATAGCTTATAGTGCTTTTAATCTTCTCAGATTTAGTCCAAATCTCTTTTAAAGTTGCTGGGAAAATGTGGACTAACAATGCTAAAAGCATCTGACCAGGAAAGGCAGGTAGTTCCTGCATGTCTTTAGGAAGCTTCTCTCCTAGACAATGGTTTTCTGTGGTTACTGTGTGCTCTATCAGCAAACTGGTCTGCATGTGATACCTGGACAAAATCTGGGAGGGTGTTCCTTACAAAATGAGACAGTCCTTGGGCTTGAAGGGCTCTGCTTTCCATTCCTAGCATCAGTTTGAACTGCAGCTTGAAACGAGACATGTATTTGTGTGTGAAACTTGCTGCTTATTAGCAAGATTTGCTGTATCACTTGTTTTATGTGCTTACACTGGTTGATTGTGCTCAAGTATTTGGTTGATGACTTTGTCAGGTGTGCAGCACAAAGCAGATTTTAATGATGCTCAATCCATAGCTGAAAAAAAATTACCATTTTAAAAGGAATAAGAGATTACCTGTAGAAACCAGAATAAATCGGCATTTCTTTTGTAGTTAAGCAGATAACTGGAAACTAAACTTCATAGTAGGTATACTAATCTGATGTGTCACAACAGAAAACAGTAGAATTAGCTTAGACATGCAGTAGCTCATCTGCTGCAGCTTTTTGATCTTTTTTCTGCTGTCTTCAAAATCAGCTCTTTAAGAGGTTGTTCCTTTCCACAGCTTGTTTTTACCGCATTCGTACCCACATGAGGGCAACCAGTTGGTTAGCCTTCATTTTTCTCTTTATGGAACCCAGAAAGAGTCTTGAAAGCTTCAGGTAGATTGGATTAAATTAAGATAACCAGCAAGTATCATCATTTCCTGCCTGTCAGGCTTTGCCTCCCTGGGATTCCTCATCTTAAGATCAGCTTTCAAAAGGTTTTGGGGTGTTTCTGGGTTCAGAGATTAAAACTGCCAAATGGAGCCATCCTAAAATAGAAGGAAACAGTTGGTTTTCAATCCTAAATCATTTTCCTGTGTTAGAAAAGTAACAGTCTGTTTTTTGCCAAGTAGTGTGATGAGATGAATCCTGTTCTGCCAGTGGAGATGCCTGGCTTGGCTTCCCACACCCAGATTGCCCTTGTCTGGGACTCTCCCCACTCCCACAGAAGCTGCTGCACAGCCCCAGTGCCAGCACATAATGTGTGTGATGAATTTGATCTGCTGTTAGCAGCCTTTCACTCAGCTCCAGCACATCCAGCACAGTGTGAATCTGTCGCTGGGATAAGTGAATCCTGGAGCATGTCTGGAGAGAATCAATCCAAACCTGCTGCTCTTCCCAAGGAAGTTGGAATGTTCCTGGCTGTGTGTGAAATTGGCACAACACCCGTGGCCTGTAAAGCAGGATTGGATTATAACACAAGAACTAACATAACACTGTGGGGTTTTTATCTTCTAGTATGAGAAGAAGGTCAAAACGACGGTGTTAACCGCTGCTCTCCTCCTGTCTGGAATCCCTGCGGAAGTCATTAGTCGTTCCATGGACACCTACAGCAAAATGGGAGATGTTTTCACAGACCTCTGTGTCTATTTCTTTACTTTCATCTTTTGCCATGAACTCGCTCTGGCTTTTGGTTCTGAAGAACCATGATGTAGAATTGACCGCAGTAGTTCCACTAAAGCTTTCTGGACTGTTTTCCTTTAGCATCTGACTGTGCAGACAGGTTTCAACCTTCATTAGAATTCTTAACCTGGTCAAATACTTGAAAGGAGCCTTAAATCCAGTCATTTGGGGAAAGGAAGAGCAGGGTCCCAGACTGCCAGTTGTATTGGGTCAGTTTATTTAATGCTGTGTCTGCCTGTTACAAATGTGAAGAATAGGGGGCAAGTGTCAGTGGGTTATTTATTTGGTTTAGTTTGATGATGCCCTTCTCAGCCTCCTTCATAAGCATTTACAAAGCTGCCTTTGTCCTTCTCAGTGAGGACAAAGAGAATACCATAAAGCAGAACATATAGATACCTATCTCCAGTATGACTGTAGCTAACAAGAACTCATTTTGTGGTGTTCCCATTTTCTTTAAGCAAGCTCTGAATGAAAGAAATCCCTTTATTCTCCTGTTCCAATTCCAAATGTTGAACCAAGTAGCTGCTTCTGGAGGAGGTTGGTGAAACATGCCACCTTGTTGTCCTTATCCTTGCCTTGCTATACATTGTGATTGTGATCCATTTTGATGGTTATAGTGCAAAACAGCTAAGCAAAAACACCAACAAAGAAAGTCCTGTTCTTTACAACTGTCCTTAATTGAAAAGTAGGAAGAAACACAACCGTTCATCTTGCCTGTTTGTGAGTTTCCAGCAGCCTAATCCTAGTGCAGCCATTCCTGTGCTTTCATCCTCATGCCTTTTCTTTACTTCAAGAGTTAATTTCATGAGGGGAAAGCTGTATATATTGGCAACCAACCCGCAGTATCTGCTGTTTGCTTTGCTACGTGTAAAACTTAAAAGGGAACTACTTGTCCAGCTCCTTGCAGGACTGCAGAAGACAGCTTTTAATATGACATTCATCTCTGCAGTTTGTCTCTGTTTATCCTGCAAACAGGATCTTGACTGTTTAAGAGTTCTGCTCCTGTAGGATCATACCCAGCAGTGCTCAGCCTCTGATGCAGCAGAGCTCTTCATCTCAACTCAGTTTGGGGTGTTTCCGACCTTGCCCCCTTGAAATCGCAGTGACTGTTCCTGTTTAAACCCTGTACCACAGGTGACAGTGAAATCAAACCCAGGGCTTTGAGCTGCCTCCCATGTGAACATGAAGGAAAGGAGAACAGCATTTGATTGGGTTTTATATCCAGCCACATAGATGAGAGGGTGACAAATACAACTGAATCCTGTCTCTGGTTAATGTGAGAAGCTCTTGAATTTGTTTGGTCTCAATTTTGCACAGGGAAAGGAAGGAGGTGTCAACTTAAACACTGATGATCTCCAAACTTTCTATTGAAGCTAAATTTGTCAGTGTTGTTGGCTTATAGCTTTCGGCTTAGAATCTGGACTTGAAGGCAATCTCAGCAATGCCCTTTTTTAGCACAGGGAAACACTCGTTTATCTCAGTATTTGTCTGCAGAAATACTTTTAGGGAGCAGAAGAGTTTGACCATGGCTCTGTAAAGCAAAGGGCTCTGTGTTCCGCTGCCTTTCTGTTAAGGCTTCCTGCTGTTCCTGTAGCACAGCATTTCTGACTCCTACATTAGATTCAGGTTGGTTTGTGGCATGAAAACAGGAAGCTTATGTTTCAATTTGACTAGTTCCAGGCTGTTTTTTACTGATTCTTTTACAGGTGCCCAGGGCTGGGCTGCAGAACGTTCTGATGTTGTTCTATTAGCACAGATACTTATTTAGAAGCTTTACATTTGTTTCTTTCAGACAGGAATTTCAGCAGGTTGAAATGACTGTCAGTTCAGTTCAGGTTGAGGTATGTACATAATGAGTTTGCTCTGAAGTTGCACTTGTTCTGACTGTTTATGTGCCCCAATGTAATACAAATAAACTGCCGAAATACCCTGTACTAACATCTCCAGAAAGCAATGAATTCTTAATCCTCAGTGTGAAATGTTGCTACTCATCAGCTAAACAGCACAGAGCTGCCCCACCTGCTGTGTGTTCGCTCCATCCTTTGCACCATCCGATACCCAAGGAAAGATGAAGTGGGATTTCTCTTCAAGCAATGGAATGAATCTGTTGTGAGACCCAACCTGGAACGCTGCAGCTTGTTTTCATCCGATGGTTTCGGTTTGCCCTCGGCTGCATGGGCATCGCTCCGGGTGACCTGCGGGCAACACCTGAATCCCTTTTGTTCCGTTTTTATCCTCTCTCTGTTGCTGTACCCAGTTCTGTTCCATGTTCAGTGCCAAACTGCGTGTTTTCTATTAAAAGGATATTTGTTACCCGCTTCCTTGGCAGCTTGGCCTGGCTCGGGAGGAGGGAGGCGGGGGCCTTGTACCGGGAGTCCTGTGCCCGGGCCGTTGGGATGTGCGGGACGGCGGCTGGCTGCCGGGCAGTCCGTTTCAGGGGCACTGCGCCCTCCAGCCAGCAGGGGGCGCTGCAGGGGGGAGGCGGCAGGAAGTAGGGGGGCCCTTCCAGCCGCGTCTCTCTTAGTTCCCAGGCGCTGGGGCGCGGAATGGCCGCTGCCGCGTAGCGGAGGGACCGCACCGCCACCGCCGCCATGGGCCGGGAGTCCAGGTGAGGCAGCGGGGGCACGGCCGGCACGGAGCGCAACGTGGGGAGCGGGCTCCTCGGTGCGGCAGCGCGGTGCGGGTGGCTGTGTAAGGAACAAAGGGCGGCGAGCACGCCGAGGGCCGCTGGGGCAGGCCGCGGGGCTGGGCCCGGCCCGGCCCGGCCCGGAGCTCGGTGTGAGAGCGCGGTGGGGGGTCAGGGCCCCTGGAACAGCCGGGCGGAGGAGCCGGCGGGTCGCGGACCTGCCCGGAGGGGCGCGGGCCGTGGCGTTGGGCCCGAAGAGCCGGCGCTACCGGGCACGAACGCGGCTGACCCCGCTTGGCCTTTAGCGGCTCCGTTTAAGTCAGTAGCGGTGGCGTCGGTACCCGGGTTGGGTTTTTATACCCGGATTAGGCGGTTTTGCTCGTTCTCCCGAAGTTTATGCAGGGTCGCGCACCTCCTGTCCTCTCGCAGCAGCTATAAACACCTGAGGAGGTGTAGCCATACAGCGGCGATGTGACCGCGTACTCGGGTGTCTCAGGTCGGAGCTGTTCACAACTACCAGGCTTTAAGCCAACTCCATAAGTTACACGTGCTGCTGGGGCACATGTCTCTGTTCCCTGGTTTTAACCAAACCATCAGTTTTTAACACCAAAGCGGTGCCTCCTTGGGCCCTACGTGTGCTTGTTCCTGCAGAGTAACAGCTTCCGAGAGCCACAACTGAGATTTATACAGAGAGAGGTGGAGGAGGTGAAACTTTAACGACCAGCTTGGGTTCAGATCAGTGATTCTGCTCCCATAGATAGCTCTGAATCAGTTTCAGACGGGCTGGGGCAGGGGTTGTTGCAGCAGGACATGGTTAGAGACTCAGGCTGCAAAATCTCCTGGGAGCTGAGCACCAAACTGAAGCAGGAGCCCCTCTCTCATCACAGGATATCTTCTCTTGTGACAGTGACAATTGTCTTCTGTTTGGGCTAAAACAAATGTAAGAAGTGGGTTTAAACGTGTATTTGTTTTCTATTTTAGTGCTTACAAAGAGTTCTGAAAGCGAAGGAACTGAGTGAGTGGTGGGTGGAGATGGATGGGGTGGGCTCCATGTGCTGCAGCTGATGGTGGGCAGTGACTGGGGCTTTTGAACCCTGAAATCATCTCAGCTTTATTGCATACCCTAGGGGAAAAAGGTAGTAATTTTGGTTGTCTAAAACTCCAATATTGGAAAGGGGGAGGTGTGGGGAGCAGGTCCCAGGGCATTGCGTGGCTTAGATGCTAAGGAAATCAGAGGTACCTTACACTGACAGATGTTCTTTGCATTCAGTTATGCTGTGGGTCGGTAGGGTATGGATATCATGCACTACTGTATTGATGCCAAGTGTACACGGCACCTAAATATATCAAGGTGCTGAAATAAGCTTTATTTTTAGTGCCAGTATGGTTGTAACACAACCCTGTGTGGCAGGGACAGAAAGGAAAGAAGGAGATGAGGGCTTGAGGTCTTGTCTTCCCTCTTCTTGCTTCCCAGGCTTGTTAGAAGAAAGGGTCTGCGGGCCCTGGGCTATAGGAGAGTGAGCAAGGACCTTATTCTGGCTTGGTGACTGAAAATCAGGAATTGGAGGAAGAGGAGATGGTCACCGTCAAGATCCCTCTGTGACTTCCAAGAGTTTCCTATGGGATTTCTAGCCCTTCTGTCTCCCACAGTGTGGTTGGGATAAGAGTGTTAAATGAGGGGAGAAAAAGGTTCCCCTCTCATTCACACACTGCTTGGCCTTGCTGACTTCTTCGGACTTCTGTTGTGATGGTGCTATGTCACATACGCTCGGGGTTTATGCTTCCTGAATTGCAGCTGGACAGCATTTCTGTTGAGCAGAGGTACAATGTGCATAGCTAACCTGGATAAAAATGATATGCTGTACAAAAAGCAACAAAGAACAGTTGTGTTTGCTTGCCACATTTTGAGATGGCTTCAGAGAGTCTTTGTCTTTTCCTCTGTGTAAGGGAAAGTAGTGGATTTCCGAAAAAGAAATCGTTCTTCATGTCCTAGTGTTCTCATGTGCTTATAGTGACCAATGCCTCTAATTCCAGCATAATTAGGAGTATACATATATATACTGATGAATATACATATATATTAATCTGTTTGGCAAGATGATTACAAATGCTTAGGGGTTCAAGAAGCCCAAGTAAGATAAGTGATCATTCTTGTCCTGTCCACCTGAATGTGACCAGTACCCTTTAACTGCAGATTGCTCTCACTGTAACTGTTCCTCTCTCTGTGCATCCATGGTCAGGCACTACAGGAAGCGCTCCGCATCACGGGGACGCTCTGGCAGCCGCTCCAGGAGCCGTTCCCCATCTGACAAGAGGAAACGTGAAGACAGACGTTCCAGAAGTCGGGATCGAGACCGGAGACGTGAGCGGTCCCGCAGCAGGGACAAGAGGAGGTCTCGATCGCGGGACAGGAAGCGCCAAAGGTATGGCTTCCCAGTCCCAACCAAAGGGGATAGGAATGCTTGTCACCACCACACTGATGTCCTTCCACTGTGATTAGTTTGCTGTTGTCCAGGATAGGTTTTACTATGTTTAATGATTTTGGCAGTTAAATTGTTTCTTGATGCTGGAGTTTGTACGCTCTTAGCGGTCTTGATGATTGTTGGATTCCTTTCACAACCTGTTCCTCAACAGCAGCTAAAATTACACTGTGATCACGGGCTAAATAAATGCAGTTTTGTTCAATGGCAGACGTTCAAGAAGCAGAGAAAGGGAGCGGAGCCGAGAGAGGAGAAGATCCCGGAGCCGAGAGAGGAGACGCTCTAGAAGCAGGAGCAGAGGCAGACGGTCTCGATCCTCCAGTCCAAGCAAGAACAGGAAAACAGAAAACAGGTATTTATATTCTCTGGTATCACTGTGACAAGGCATCATAGAACTGTTGGTAGCATGGAGGGAATCATCAGACACAGCTTTGGTTTGTTAGAACAAGGAGAGTATTATATGACTGTACTGTTGTGAGCTGTTCCCACTGCTTAACATGTCTGGTGCAGCTTGTTGGGAGAACCAGTGTGAATTGGGTTCCAATAGATTCTGCATTTCTGGTAGTTAAAAGGAATATTTCCATGGCATGGAAAGACTCCCAGGAAGGCAGTGTGCTTTTTAACGTATTTGAAAGCATAAACCAGTACAGGGTGTTCAGGAGTTCTGTTTCTATCCAGCACATGTATATCCTCCCCCTGAGAAAAGCTCTGATGTTCTCAGAATGCTTTTATTTTCCCTTTCAGGTCAAGATCTAAAGAAAAGACAGATGGTGTGGATGTTTCCAAGGAAAAGAAAAAAGACAAAGATGACAAAGAAGATGAGAAGGATAAAGATGGAGCCCCAAATACCGTGGCCACTGAGGTAGAAACTTCTAATACTTACAAATATAAAACATAAGAATTTAAACTAGGAATTAAGTTACCCATAGATTAGTGCATTAATGAAAGAAAACCTGTTCTTAGAGCTAGAAAAAATCCCCACTGAATGAGAGAGCATTCTTTTCAGTAACACACACTCCTGTCACGGGGTATGCTTCTGGCTCTTGGTATGGGAAACGTTCTTCTCAATTCAAGATTTCAGACCTCTTAGACCTCATAGACCACAAACCCCAGACAAGTCTGATCTCTCATTTGTCACAGATTAGGTGACAGCAGAGGAGCTGAACATTCTGTTGTCCTCTGGACCCAAGCAGAAATCAAAGAACAGGGGGAGAGGAAAGGTCACTTTGCCTGATTCCATGATATGAAAAGTTGTGCCTAGATGAAGAATTCCTAAACCAGCAGTTCTAGCTGACTCTTCTGAACCAGAACGTTGTTACTAACCCTCCTTCGTCAGAAGCTGCTGCACAGTCAGTGAAGGCTTCCCACACATAAACCAGTTCCAAAGGACCTTTGGCAGTAGAGGGTAACAGGCTTAATTCTTCAGCCTGCTATCAGTCAGTGGTTACAATGAGTTGATACTGACTGGTCTGAGTCACAGTGTTTTTTTCCTAGTAAATATTTCCTAGTAAATACTTTTTCCTAGTAAATAATTGAAAGTTTGTTATTATGTTACAAATAAGACACCAGCTACTCTCATGAAAATAAAACAGCTGACTGCATTTCTCACTTGAAAACGTTATAGTTGATGTTAGTACTTCTGTTGTGATAAGTTGGTGGACTAGTTGGTGGATGTCAAGTCCACACTCACATAACGGTTATATTTGTTTGAAGAAGCACAGACCAAAGCCAGTGGCTATTAATTTTCACTCTTTGGTTGGGTTTTACCATAGAATTTTGATCAGAACAAACTAGAAGAAGAAATGAGAAAACGAAAAGAGAGAGTGGAGAAGTG